GAACAAAAATTTATTGACTTTAATTAAAATGCATTTTGCATTATTTTTTGTGTAATTTTAGCTGGTCTTCTAACACGTGATTATCGTCGCCGTGAACGTAAGAAGTTTGGCCAAGAAGGTGCCCGCCGCAAATACACCTGGAAGAAACGTTAAATTTGTTTTTGTTTTGTCTGTGGTTTATGTATGTTGCAAAATGTTGTTAATAAAGTTTACATTTTATTTAAAGGTTTTAAACCCAATATTTCCATGCCTTGTTTAAGTATTGTTTTAGAGGTTTGAAAGAGTAAGAGACGATGTTGTTGTTTCTCGTAGTTAGTTTCTGTTTTGACGGGCAAGCATTTAAGGGCACGACTGGTGGTGTTGCTGAAAAGAAATTTAGTTAATTTAATATTTTTAAGAAAATAATCAAATTCTCTTATTTTGGTATATTTACCTTAAGGAAAATAAATAGTTTACTAAAATGCAAGCTTCCAACTGCTCTTTAGCCTGCCATAGTATTTGTGGAAATCTAGAAATTTCATTTAGCAGTTCATATGCCTCTGGTTCGGCTAGATTTTTCCATGAAAACTGTAAATTGTCGATATTTATATTACAGTTTTGTTCGATTAAGTTATTTAATCTACAGTGTGTATATTGAAGTTTTATGCCCGTATCACCATTAACTTGTAACGCCTTATCCCAAGAGAACTCATAATCCCTCTGACGTCTTTGTTTTAAATCATTTATTATAACAGCAGATACTCCCAAGATATCAGCCACTTCTGATGAGGTTATATCAACCTTTGTAGCTGTAAACAGACAATAAATACATTTATTAACACATTTTAAACATTATTTTTTTAAACAAAAACATCTACTTACTAGGACTTTTTAGTTGTTTTTCATGCATAATATCTCTTGCTTCATCCAGCAAATCTTTAAGAAACACCGCTTGTCCCTTGCGCGTACTCATGCCATGAATACGACCAAATTTTACATGTTTCACTTTAGATTCTTTAATTTCATCACTCAATCTCGAAGTGGTTTGAAAACAAGCCTTAAAATGATCCGTCTGACCATTTTCCACAATATAGAAAATATTTTCAAATTTAAATCGTTGCCATCTATCCAAAAGAGCGGCAATATCTCGAGCTAAATACAAAGTAGAACCATCACTTTTTATAACCGGTACACGACGTTTATCTACCAACACAACTTTACGACCATCTTTTTCGGGTAACAATAAGTTTTTCTCCTCTAGTTTCTGCAAAACTGCTGAAATTTGCTTCTGACTGTACTGAGACTCCCAATCATAAACATCGAATGTGACACCCAAACGTTGATAAACTGCTTCCAGGTTTTTAATTGTGTACTCCCTATAATTCTGCCACTGTTTGCTGAGCTCTGTTGACTGTTGGTCACTTTCCAATTCTTTGAAATAATCTCTCGCCTTCTGAGCTATAGAAGTATCTGTTTCTGCCTCCTTGTTGGCCGTGACATAAGCTTTATACAAAGTTTCTATGGGATTTTCTTGCATTTGTTGTTCTGTCACCTGTAGTAATTCTACGCCCACCTGCAGCAAGCCAAATTGTGTGCCCCAATCACCCAAATAGTTCATTTTTGTCACAGAATAACCCAGATTTTGATGCAGATTAGCTAAAACATTACCTATTATTGTGGAACGTATATGGCCCACATGAAATGGTTTAGCTATATTGGGAGAACTATATTCAAATACCATATGTTCAGCATGTTTAGGTTGATCTATAAAAACATTTTCCCTTAATAACGTTTCCATATATGCCGATTCTTTTAAAGTAAATTCTATTTTGGCTTGAATTTTACCATTTGCTGGTATAAATTTTGTACTTTCCACCAAATTCTGGTCATAATTTAAATTTCCTACTTCTTTTAAAAGTTCTTCATTGTGTTTTGCGTTACCCTTTAATGACCACTGCAATGCCGGTTTTCCATTGGTGGCTGCAGCTTTCAAAGGAACTTCTAGCTCATAGTAGACATTGTGGTGTTTTACTAATTGCGTGATCTGTTTACAAATGTAGATAATAATTTAATTATTTATTGTAATTTATTGGTATTATTTATAAATTCTTTTTAATTTATAAAATCATTAAAATTACCTTATCACTTATGGACTTACGTATTAAACTTGACATTTTGCTGTTGTTTTTTGTCGCTATTTTGTTGGCCAGCTGTTTTTGACAGTTGCATTGAGTTATTTTGAGTGAAATTTTGCATTGTTGTTGCATTGAGTGCTTTTTATAAAATAGTTGGGATTTTAAGGGAGATGCCAGATTGCTAAATTTTCTACATAGAGGGTTAAGTCCAATGAATTTATTTAAGAAATAGAATTATTTATTAAACAAACCAGGACTGATTTTTCTAATAAAGATTCGAAATAATTCTTTAATTATTTTATATAATAAGTTTGCTATTGTATTAGATATGTAAATAAGACATTTCTGTCTCGCTGACTGACATAAAATTTTATAAAAATAATATAAAATTTAATATAAAATAACGGTATCAGAATTGTAGCGATAACTTATTAAATATATTATTTTTAATACTTTTGTGTTAGCTTATATTTGTTTGATGTGCGAGCAAAAACAAAAAATATTAACAAAAAAATAATAGAATGACGTTTTGCATATTTCTATTAATAACTAATACGAGCAAAAACATGGCTATATTTATTTATTGTTATTTTCGATGCAAAATGAGTACGGGTTGTTATTTTTATTTTAATAAATCCCTTAAAACTAATAACGGATTACATCTGGCAACACAACATTCTCGAAATTTAATAAAAATGAGAGAGAAATTAATAAAAGTGATGCCAAGTTATTGTATCTTGAAAAAGAGACCTGTGCCGATTCGGCTTAAAAAACGCCGTTGAAAATGTTTCAGGCTAAGACGGCTGGAAAATATCTGGCACATTTTATAAAGTTTTACTAAATTAATGGAATTTTACTATATAAAATACATTTATATTAATTCAAGCAACTTTTACTATTTCATATAATAAGCAGCTTCGTTGAAATTTTGCCGGCTTAGTCCAAAAATTAAAATCATATATATCATACCTATATCTGTATACTTAGCCGACTTATAACCGTTTTGGCCAGCCGCCGGAGTCTTTTATATCAGAAGTAGGGTTTTCAAATTCGTTTTTTGGTTCGCGGAATCGGGGAAAATATTAACATTGCCGGAAAACCGTGAATTCCCGATAAAATAAAAAAATAAATTAAAAAAGCTAAAGTTTCCGAGATGTTTTATTGAATTTTTTAACTTTTAGATAACTTTGCTACCCTAAAAATAATTTGTAATTTATTCATATGGGAGGTGCCAAGTTTCCATTGATATTCCATCGATTTACTTCAAAATGTTCACATTGATCTCAAAGTTTTAGTGTAAAGTTTGAGGATTTCTACTTAATTCATATTAGAGGTTCCTACCCCCCTAGTAAGAGTCACCCCATTTTCCCCAAAATGTTCAAATAAATGTTAAATTTCTTCCTGCAAAATTTTAAGATTTTAGGTCTAATAGTTTCCCAGACAAACGAAATTGTGTATTTAATTCATATGGGTGATGCTACGCCCCCTATTGCTAGTCCTCCAATTTATTACACAAATGTTCCCATTGATCTTTCTCAGATATACGAATTTTTCTATTTAACTCATATAGTGTTGAATGTCTACTTGAAATTTTTAAATAAAAAGTATCCTATAGCTTCTTCCAGACACACAGGAAGAAATTACAAGAAAATCACATTCATTTTTATATATATAGATAGAAGATAGAAAATAGATATGTAAAAAATCTCCACTAAGTGGAGTCCACTTTTTAAATATTTCCCTACAAGAACAGTGACAGTCATTTGATAGGTCATTTGACTGGCACTACTGATGTATTATTTCTATCACAGCGTAAAGCAAAGTTTCTATCAGTTTCTTAAGGCAAATGGACAAAAGTGATGGAAACATTTGTGTACATGTGATTTTTCTTCTCCCTTGCACTTATGAATTCTATCGACTTTAAAACATATATTTGAGGAGCTCACTCTTTTGTTGTTTACTAACCAAGGATGACATAAATATTAGTCAGGATTGACTGATCATGCTTGATGGATATATCCATCACAGTTAACAAATTAAAAATGATGTATTTATCGGTCATTGTTGACTAATCATATGTGATGAATATATCCGTCAAATGTGACGGCTATACCAATTTATAATAAAACACAATTTATTATTATTATAAGATATATATTTGTTAATTTTATTAATATAATAAGCATGTACATAAATTAACAATCATTTCACCATTTTACATACCTCGCAGGATCTTAAATCCGCTGATGCTCCTTTTAATTTGTGGAAATAAGTTGTCTGTAAGAAATACATATAAATATCGAAATATAAAAATTAAAAGTAAGTAATCATGTTACCATAGATTGATTAAGCTCCGAAGTGTTTATCTTCAGCTCCACTTCCTGCACTATTTTTAAATTCTGTTTATAATAATTCTCTTTATTTTCAATAATTTATAGACTTTGTAAATTTTGAGATTTTTCGCTTCATGATCTTTGGCTTTTACAGAAATAATTAATTTATAACGTCGAAATATATAACTCTAAAACACAGTACAGTCAAATGTAGTTGTTTCACTCTTTCATATGCAAATGAAACCCTTTACCACACATTGGGTACATTAACAGTCATTTTACCGGTCATTTGACTGTCATTATTGATGGAATTATCCATTAACTATTTTTTTTTAGCAATTTTATAAAAAAAATGTTGCAAGAGTGTTAGTGAAATCATTTTGTATGTGTTAGTTTCGGTCATACATTTCTTGTAGGGTTGCTTCCAAAATCCCAAAAACATTTAGCCGGCTTAAAGCCGATTTTATGCCGCCGCCGAAATGTTTAACGTAAACCCCCGCCGCCGTTAATGTTTGTGGGCGCAGGCCTCTGTTACTTTGCGCAAATAAAATTGGGAAAAATCGAATGAGCAGAAAAGAACTCCTGAAAAAAGAAAGAAAACTTTTTTAAATTAAAATATCTTGTATAATTACACAAGAATTTTACAAATAATTTAAAATTTATTAAGCAAAAGGCAATTGAAGAATAATTATAGCAAAATTATAACACTAGAATAGAAAAAATATAAAAAACAAACAGCGGAGTGAAAAAATCTGTATAAAACGAAAAGAAAAATTCCTGTAAGAAAAAAATTTTACAAAAGTAGTAAAAATACTAACAAAAAGTGATAAGAAAAATTTAAATACTAGAAAAAAAGTGAAGTAACTAATTATTACGTTAAAACTTAAGCAATTTATTGTTTAACGGTAAATAAATTAAACAATTTCGTAAAATTTGTTGTTTTAGAAGCCACGTATTGAGAGCACCCAACAAATGAAAAAAATATTGGATACCAAAAAACCAATATCAAAGAAATAGGTTCTTAAAAAAAGCAAAAAAGTGTAATGAATGAGAAAAATCAAATGAGAAAAAAACAACAAAATTGACAATTCTGTTGTCAAAAACACTCATTCACACACACAAACACATACTAGTGCGTGTCAATTAAAAGAAGGGAAAAAATCTGTAAAATAAAAATCAATAATTCTCAATAAGAATTTGTATTTATTAAAAATAAAAGAATAAATAAAAGCAATACAACAATAATAAGTGTAAATTAGTCAAGTAAATTTTGCAATAAATCAATAATTCCCACATATAATGGTTGTCATTTGATTTAGGGGGCGTGTGTGTATGATTTTTTCTTTCTCCACAACATGGAACCTTGATTTAATGGGTCATCACCATTACTTCTCTGCTTAAAAAATGCTGTGATTACATTTAAGTTAATTAATTTAGTTTTTATTTTATTTATCTCTCTCTCTTCCCATTAATTTTAGTTTGTAATCAAAGCTGGTACTTTGTTACGCGACAAAACAAATTGAATCAAAAGTAAAAAAATAGTGTTAAAAAAAAAACAATTTTGTACAATTTTTGTGTGTTTTTTTAAATAGAAGTTATAAAATAAAGCAGATTTCATCATGTCCATGGCTGGGCAAACAATCAACGACAGACTGTTGGCTGCCAGGCACAGTCTTGCCGGTCAAGGTCTGGCCAAATCAGTATGCAAGGCCACAACGGAAGAGTGCATTGGACCCAAGAAGAAACATTTAGATTGTAAGTAGAAACGTACATATAATTTCATTGCAAAAAAAGAGTAAACAAATTTACAAAGAAAATTTTGTTGCAAAATAATGAAAACATTTTCAACAATTATTTGAAATCAATTGATATTTATTAAATTAGTTTACATAATAGAAACTGTATTGCAAAAATGTGACTATTTTTCTGTAAATATTTTCCTTCTGTGGACTATTATGACGTTTTGTTGGTATTGGAAATGGAATTTTTGAAATTATTTTTACATTTTGCTAATTACCTATATGAAAATTAAGAAACAGAAATATCTAACGACAGTTAACGTGTTTGCTGCTTCTAAATTACAAAAGTCCATTTGTCAGTAATTCAGTCCATTCGTCTAGCTGTTAGTGTTGTATTCATGTAACCAATGTTATCAAAGTACAAGTTTCAGCATTAATTAGCAGAATCTTCAGGTTTTTATATGTTCTTTTCACCAAACAATCGACAGATTTGTTTACATATATATTCTGATGGATGTATGTATATATATGTATCAGTGAATGGGTTTAGTGGTGGTATGTAAAATTAAAATATTTCGGTTTAAAATCCCTTTAAAATCCAATGATGATTTTAGCATTTTACCATGCCGTACAAGCCGTTATTGACTATTAGAATCATGCAAGCCACATACATACATAGTATGTGGTTCCATATAAAGGCTCCTCTAAAAGATCTCATAAGAAGATGAGGAGGAGGTGATTGCTCATCTTTTATGTTATTGTCATGCTCTGAAAACTGTACGTTTATGGACACTAGGCAGGACATATTCTATATCTAGTGTGTGCATCCTTAGTTTTGTCAAATAAGATTTAAATAAATTAATTTAGAGACACGCTGTAATACGGTATTATTAAATTACACACCCAATAATTTTTATATAATAAAAAAATCTACTATAAATTATATATTTTACTGATTAAAAATATGTAGAGGCTATTGTATAATTACAACAATTATTATTCATATAGAAACTTTTTTTGATATACATATGTATTTTAAAATAATTCTTATTATTTTATTTATAATACATATAAACAATAATTTAAGATAAAAACAAAATTGATCATTATTATTTAAATATGACACGGACATATTTTTTATGTTCTATTATTATTATTAAATTAAAGGGCGTTCTAAAACAAATCGCATTAGCTAATTCATCATAAACACTGTTTTTGAAATCACTATTCACACATTCAACATTTTATTTTAGAAATTATGGAATTTGAATTATTTAATTATTTTCCAATATTTTTTTAAATCAAAAAAATCAGCCAAGTGAATATCAGGGGATATCTTTAGAATATTATTGTAATGAATAAAATATTCTTATCAGATAGAAATAGACTAGAATAGACTAGACTACAGACTAGACTATAGACTAGACTATAGACTAGACTATAGACTAGACTATAGACTAGACTATAGACTAGACTATAGACTAGACTATAGACTAGACTATAGACTAGACTATAGACTAGACTATAGACTAGACTATAGACTAGACTATAGACTAGACTATAGACTAGACTATAGACTAGACTATAGACTAGACTATAGACTAGACTATAGACTAGACTATAGACTAGACTATAGACTAGACTATAGACTAGACTATAGACTAGACTATAGACTAGACTATAGACTAGACTATAGACTAGACTATAGACTAGACTATAGACTAGACTATAGACTAGACTATAGACTAGACTATAGACTAGACTATAGACTAGACTATAGACTAGACTATAGACTAGACTATAGACTAGACTATAGACTAGACTATAGACTAGACTATAGACTAGACTATAGACTAGACTATAGACTAGACTATAGACTAGACTATAGACTAGACTATAGACTAGACTATAGACTAAACTATAGACTAAACTATAGACTAGACTATAGACTAGACTATAGACTAGACTATAGACTAGACTATAGACTAGACTATAGACTAGACTATAGACTAGACTATAGACTAGACTATAGACTAGACTATAGACTAGACTATAGACTAGACTATAGACTAGACTATGGACTAGACTATAGACTAGACTATAGACTAGACTATAGACTAGACTATAGACTAGACTATAGACTAGACTATAGACTAGACTATAGACTAGACTATAGACTAGACTATAGACTAGACTATAGACTAGACTATAGACTAGACTATAGACTAGACTATAGACTAGACTATAGACTAGACTATAGACTAGACTATAGACTAGACTATAGACTAGACTATAGACACCCGATATTCTTGGAGAATTCTTGAAGCGGGCTCTAATGACCGTTTACTATCAGTATATAAGAGAATATACACGCCCAATGTCTTCTGCTAATCAATTTGTTCTGTAGCTACTTTAATTATAATAACTTTAGACTAGATTATGCTACAGTTATCTGGCAACCAAATTGTCAGTTTTATATACATACATATATCCCATGTAAATTTGGATGGCATCTTCCCTAATGTAAGGAGTATTGTCATGGTAGGATATCTCTAGGATATACATATTTCATAGTCCATCGAAAACAGGAGTCTATTTTTAAAATGTTTAAGTGCAATTACCAAGAAAACCTATTTAACTAAAGAAATACTTTCCTAAATAACATCGTTTATAAATGTCATCAGTTTTAATTTTTTGTAATATGTTTGTACTTTAAATTGTTTCTGGCTCCTGCTAAACACAAAAAAAAAAAAATATAATCATTCAAGGATACTTAAGGAATTCCTTTATAAAACCTCAATTACAAACATATTTATGTAATAAACATACATACAGTTTTATTAATGGGAGTATACACATATCGTCACCTAAAATGCAAACGGCTCTATCTAACATTTTTAAAATTTTACAGGAGAAGCAAAAAACTATTTAAATTGAAAAGTTTGTTTCTATCAATGCGATTTATTTGTAGTAAATAAACAAATTGTTTAATAGTGAATCCTATCAGTTGTTATAATAGTTGACAATGGCGTATATAAAAATGGATAAATTGGACTTTTTACCTTTAATATTTAAATGTTTTTGTAGATAGGGCCTTTTGTTTTTTGTCAATACAATCGCTAATTTTGGTCGGAGGAGTCCAATTTTTTGTGTGTACATTTGTTTTGATGCAATACATTATAGTCAACAATAAAATCGATTTTGAATTTTTGGTTAGTTAGGGCCGTTTTAGGTGACGATATACACTTGTATGTATTTATATAATCTCACATAACAGCTAAATGTCCATTAGTCATTTCAATGGCCATACATCATCTTGGTCTGTCAAAGATTCTATTGTATACTAACATACACATGTTTGTTTGTGTTTGCACTTGTTAGTTTGTTTGTTTATTGGGCGAATTGCAGTCATATCATTTACTATGTATATTTATTTTTCCCTTTTTTTATACATCCATTCATTCATTCGACCAACCATCCATCCATCTTTGCTCTCTAATCGCACAGAGTGAAGTGTTGGTTCTTTTTATTATTATTATTATTTTTTTTGTAAAGTGTAAATGAACTTAATAAATACTTATCGTTAATACTTTGTTGCTCTTGTTGTAGCTGTTGCTGCCTTCAACAATTTTGTCGTTGTTGCTGTGGATGTATGCTTCGTAATAATTTAATTATCATCGAATTCTTTGTTAAAACAACAATGCAACAAATTTCACTTTCTTTAAACCAGCTGATGTCGTCGTCGCCGTCGTTTTATGTACTTGTACACTTTTTTTGTTTACAATATGTATTGTGTAAATAAATACACATATAATTGTACATACATGTTAAGTATGTAAACAATTTAATTCAACTCCTAACGGTATTTAGAAAAAAAATAATAATCAACAAAATTAATTCATTAAACAAAATTCACTCTTATGTACTCTTTTCATATAAATGAAATACAAATATACAAGTTTTTATATTTGTATACATACACTCTTTCTCATGTAATTGCGACAGAGCTGGAAATGTATAAATTATTTAATTACGTATGGGCAAACAATTTAAATGATTTATATTTATAAACAACTTTGCAATTACCATTATTTTTATATCTGGGGAGACTAATATACATACATACGTTTGTGCAGACGCTTGCAATGTTTGTATCCCCAAGTGGGACTCGAACTCGAGCCTGAGTTAATAAACTAACAAATTATGCAAATTTACTTTAAAAATTATACAAACTAGGACTTAACTGGTCTGTTGATAGAAAATTTGCCGCATATGGAGTAGAATCAATCCACGACAGGTCCTACACATTCCATTACATCTGTGCTGCTTACACGATATTAGCACGATCAGACTTTATTTGATAAAAATTAGGCCGGAGTTCGCGTTACGGTCAATGGATATTTTTTCCGCATCATGATCAATGTTTTTTGTTATAAAATATGGATCACATTCGTCCCTATTTATTTAAAAATAAAAGCAGAGTTTACGGTGCGATCAATGGAGATCAGTACTGCTCCATGATTCATTCAATTTATTGAGCATAATTTCTCTATAACTCAATTTCGAGAAATGGACCTTTCAATTGACATCCAAGGTTGTATAATTTGATATCTTTCGGTCCCTCCCGCAGGGAGCATGTTACCCTGAGGTGCTACCAGTACCTCTAGTTTGATGCGGATTATGAACTGGTGGAGTTAAATGTATCCTCGTCCTTACCTTGATAAGATTTAACCAGAGGTCGAACCAAAGAGCCTTTTAATGTGGTATCACGAAAGCCGGTAGAACGTAGGGTAGAGTTTCGGATTTTGTCTTGGTTATTGGAGAGGTCCCTTTGGGGTGCACGTGGTGGCTGCGCTTTAAACCCAGATTCGTGGGAAGAGAATATAGGGTACCAGATATAAAGTGTGTTCTATTTGTGTAAGATGAAAGGCTTATTTTGCAAAAAGACTAAAGGGCTCATGCACGGTAAAGTCTTTAATTTGGTATAAGTTCTATACTGTTGCCGTGACAAGTGTG